AAAGTAGCTGAAAGCTTGGAATATTTCTGTCCATAGACAGTAAGGAGGTCAGTCGATGGGCCGTTACGCCTGGTCTTGGGTCATCGTATCCCCTTTGTAGAAAGTCTGGGCTGAAAATTTGCATGTCAAAAGCCCACGAAAAACTCCATTCATCGCTATTATTGATAGGCGGGTCGCTTTACAGAGATCTGTGAAAAGTTTACACATTGGACGTTAGTCAATTTTTTTGTCTTGCAAATGTTTGCAAATGAGCCCAGCAGTCAACAATAATCCAGTTGTTAATAAATTTCATTAAACACAATGATACAAACAGGCACTTATTGGGAAATTTCACGTTTTTCTGACTTTTTAGCCAAGCTGGTTCACCATGAAAGAAGGTAACGTTACATGTATTATAAGTGATCTTAAATCAGATGCTGTAAGGTTAAACTATGTAAGTCTTCACTTCTTATATTCTCTTCTTTAAAAAAATATGTAGTCATACCTGTCATATATGGAAAACTATTATAACATCTGCTTGGACTTTGAAAGATTGTGTGGTAAGAATCTGTATTTCCCGGTTTCTTTCAGTGGTCACCATAAGTGAATTCTATCAACTACATGTGCCTCTGTTGTTCAACTCATATTAGCTTGGATTTTTTTCTAAGTTTGTTTATCTTGAGGATTATAAACATTTGACAATTGCTTATGTAAGTATGTATTAAAAAAAATACAAGGGCCCTTGGAAAAATAAGCAAGAACTGTTTGTTACACTACAAAGAAACCCTCCTTTGCTTCAAAATCTCTTTAGGTAACCAAAATCCCTTTTCAAAGATCAGCTGCTTCATGACTCAAAGGTGACTAATCGCCCTCACACTACAGTATCTACTTGAGTGGCCAAGTGTTACTGCACCACAAACACATTAAACAAACACTTCAAGCAAGCATGGATCCGTTTGGCTGCAGCGTCGGCTCTTTCAAAACAACTGAGGTGCCCAGTTTAGTCTTTCAAAGCCTGGCTTTGCCACTTGTTTGATGTCGCAGTTTTAATAGCAAATGCAAATTTTATAATTGGTGCAATCTAGACAATGCAATCTTCAACATGCATCCTTGGTTTATAAATATATCTGATTTCTCAAGGAGCCCCTCTTGGATACATTCAAGAAATTCTTCTAAAAATTGCATTCATTTTCAGCAAACCTGTCTTGTGGCTGATTCCACAATTTACAGAGTCAGTCAAACTGTCACACCCAAATGTAAAATAGAGTTGAATTTAAAAAAAAAAAACAGATAGTGAGAAGACATATGACTATTATGAGGGCAGTACAAGGAAAGCCATGTGACACAGGGAACCGGTAATCTACGCTAAGCTGCTGGAAAAGCTGGGATAGGTGACAACCTTTGATGTTGAGTAGGGAGCAGGTGCTAAGTCAAGCACGGAACTGCCATCTTTCACACTGGAATTACAGTCCACAGCAATCTCATTAATTTGTCTTAAGATAAGCCTAAGGAGGGGTATAAAAACATAGAACAAAGAAGAGATCATGTTAACGGTGCTGCATTCAAGCAGAGCATATGTGCAATAAGTCTCTTTATTTAGTCACCATCACCATGTTGACCTTACATGTAGACATTTCATTACACATTCATGATACAGTAAAACACACAAGTTTTAACTTAAACATTCGTCACTTTGCAGGTGAGACAACATTGCATGATAAGAACATCCAGTGATATGTATATTGTGTACCCCGAAAGTGAGAAACTGTGAATACTACTAGTATTGCTTTCTACGCAATAAAAGTGACAGAATTCATTTGCTTTAACTCTCGTCCTACTAACTTCTTAGCATAAAAAGGTAGTTACACTTCAATTACACTAGTATGTCAACAACAGGAATAACATTGCTATAGAAAATGCCTCAGATAAGATTGTCAAAAAAATTACAAACAAAACTGACAACAATCAAGATAATTTTTCTTCTAAGATTGCAGCACTAAATCTTTTACTTGTTGTAGTCTTTATTTCCTATATTTAGTGTTCTTCAAAGTTCCTTTTGCTGGCATTGTACTGACAGTTGGATACAGGCTTCTTCTGGCAGTCTTGGGCCCAGATGTTGCTGTGAAGGAAGAAGTTACAGTATTCAAAACTCACATATCAGTAAGGCAGTTAGCCTATGTTTCTCAAGGGATAAAGACCATAAGTAAGTAAGTAAGTAAGTAAGATTGTATGAACATTCATCCCCTGTCAAATGTTGACAAATTATACAATGCCTGATGAAGATCAATATTCAATGCAGAAACACATGTTTGTACATTTGTACTCACCTTTCACAGGTTTGCCTTTGTCTTTGCTCAGGTTTGGTGCTGTCTTTGGACGAACTTCAGAGGCTTTGGTTGCATGTTTGGCAGCCCTAATTACCAAGGTATACAAAACTGCACTGTTACCCAAGTCAACCAATACAATATAGAAAAATATGACCAATAAAAGTTTATTGAAAGCAAACAGGAGAATGAAAAGGAAATTTTTAGTGTGTTTACATAGTGCTTGCCCCACCAGAGATCTTTGTTCCAGCAGAATCATCAGCACTGTCTTTTTTTGCAGTCATTATAACACATATTTTATGAATGATGAGCAAATACAATTGTTTTAGACATATGCTGTTTCTGCACACACAAAATGGTATGAGATCACAAGAGCTTTCAAAACAGTAAGTAGACAGTACCTGTTCCAAGTCCCTGATCTTACAGGGGAGGATCCCTGAATAGGCCTTAGAATCCTGGAACAACACAGTCCTCTGGGTTTAGGGCTTCTCGCTCAACAAAATAAAGAGAATACTACAAGCAGAAAGTGGAACATTTCTACAAACATAAGCTCTCTAAACTAGATCTGAAAAATGGAACAACAAGACTTTATTTTGAATATTACTCTACTGAGTGCTCCCTATGAGTAGAAAGGTGTACAAGTAGCTGCATGTTGACTTGAATAAAGAAAGCATGAGGTTCATGTAGCATGTGGTGCATG